ACCAAATTTAAATTCTTGTAGAAACTGACCCACATCCCAAAATTAGTATACCAAACTGAATAATGACTACAAATCTGCAATAGCAGAATCTAAGTATACAATAATTAATTATCAAAGATTAAATTAGAAATTAATCACCAAATCAAATTTATTTTAAAAAAATAAAATTTTACCCAGCTGTTTGATGAAGTCCCTAGCAGAATCTTCAGTAACTCTACCATGCCTATGAATGTAAGCTCCAAGGTCACCACCATCGCAGTACTCCAATACCAAGTATATCCTTTCCTCTGTCTATAAAAACCCATGAAAAAAAAAATCAGAAAAATCAAAAAATAACCCATTAATTTATAAAATTACAATAATAATAATTTGTCAAATAAAATCAACCTCAATGGATTCAAAAAGGCGAATTATATTTGGATGAGTTATGTTTCTAAGAATAGAAATCTCCTTCCTCAAATTATTATTAAAATGCTTCTTATCAATCTCTTTGATTGCAAATTCTGCACCCAGATGACGATGTTTTGACTTCCAAACCACTGCAAATGAACCCGACCCGATTTTAGGCCCGATTATATAATCCCCAACAATACGACACCTTGAAGTTCCTGCATCAAAATCCATCCTTTTTTTTTACTGGGTATTTTTTTTCCCGATTACCCTTTTGAGATCAGTAATCAATCAAAAACCCCATTTGTTCAAAAACACAGAAATTACTACTCTCTTTACTGGATTGTTTGTACAACTAAACTGGGTACTTCGAATTTTTTTTTTTTTTTTTTTTGGGTTTTAATTTGATTTGATTAAGGATTAATTTCCCCCTCTTTTTTTTAGTTGGGGAATTTAATAGAAAAGGAATGAAATTTATCGTGGTAAAAGAAAGAAGAAGAAGATGGCATGCTGAAAAGGAGGAGAGAGAAAAAGGGGGGAAAGGTGTTTGTTGGTAATTTCTGCAAACACACACAGAGAGAGGAGATGGATAGCGTACAGGGAAGACCTGGAAGTTGAGTTTAACTAGTATTTGTGTGATTGCTTTTCAGAAACCAAGATTTTTTTTTTTTTTTTTTTTTTTTTTTTGTGGGTTTATTTAAATTTTTTTAAAAAAATATAATTGTTTTCTTCAAAGATTAATTTTACTTGGTCATGGAGTCATAAGCTCATGGTGAATCTTATTATTGCCACTTTGGGTGTGAATCTGTTAAGAATGTTATTTTTTATTTTTTATTTATATTTGGTGTTTCACCCGATTTAGTCTTTAGACTAATTTGGATTCGGGACTCAATTATGGGTGATTAGATTTCAGTTCCCTTTCAATTATTTTTGAAGGGAAATCGAACACGCGGTTCTCTCTACCAAATACAACCTAATTAGGACTGCCAATTGGTTGATAAGAATATTTATTTGAGTAAATTATTAGGATGCTTATGATTTGTTTATGGGGGAAATGCCAAATAAATTAATGGTAAGTGTCATAGACCCATACTTATCAAAATCCTAGTATACTTAAGAATTATACTTCGTAGTAGTAATTAGATAGGATGACATATGATATTTGACAAGTAGTTGATCAATATCAATTGGTTTGCATGTACCGAGTTCATTATAAGTTTTTTTTTTCCTTTTTTTTTATCTGGGAATTTTACTGTAATCTTATAGTTTATTTATATTCAATTTAGTTTACTCCGTATAATTTAATGACCAAGGACATTATTATGTACTCTACATATTATATCCTATGAATATTAACAGTAAACTAACGACAATTTTTCTCATATGCGTTGCAAAAAAAAATAAAAAAAATAAAAAAAATCATATACTCTGAATGCTCACTAAGCAAAAACACGTACAAACAAATTGATAGATATTATAGTTATGATAATATTTGTCGCAGATCAGGATATTTTTTGTATATATTATGTATCCTTATCGTACTAGGATTACGAGTCTTGTAAAACTCTATATATAATGATCAATGGTACACAATCCAATTGGAGGAGTTTTCCCGAAATCTAACGTGGTATCACAACTTTAGGTTTCGATCTAGCTTCCGCTAATTATTTTTTTGTCTTTTATCTATAATTAATTCTCAAATTGATTGTAGCTTTGTCATATAATACCGGCCACTATTCGTATTGTTCTCAGCTTAGTTTTGGCTAAAAAGTGGACGATTCATCAATTAGATGTCAAAAATGTCTTTTTACATGGCAATTTGCAGGAAACGGTATATATGCATCAACCTCCGAGTTTTGTTGATCGGAGAGCACCCTCCTATGTATGTCGACTTCGTAAGGTTCTATATGGATTGAAGCAAGCTTCTCGAACTTAGTACCAACGCTTTGCGAACTTTTTGGCCAGATTGGGTTTTGTCATTGCTAAAAGTGACACCTCTCTTTTTACTTTTCGACATGGTGATGATATGGCATATTTGTTTCTTTATGTTGATGATATTATATTAGCTATCTCTTCTGACAGGTTGCATGAGGGAATCATATCTCAGTTGCAAACTAAGTTCCCTATGTCTGATTTGGGTCCTCTGAGTTAATTTTTAAGGATTGCGGTGACTCGTACTCCCTCTTATTTGCTACTTTCACAGGAAAAGTATGCACAGGAGATTTTAGAGCGTGCAGGTATGGGCTCTTGTAAACCTGTAGCTACTCCAGTTGACACTAAATTTAAACTTAGTGTAGATGTAGGATCACCATTTCGGAATCCTACTTTGTATTGCAGTTTAGCAGGTGCTTTTTAGTATCTCACTTTCATCGGGCCAAATATTGCCTATGCGCTACAACGGGTGTGTCTTTTTATGCATGATCCCCGGGAATCTCATTATGATGCTTTAAAATGCATTATGCGTTATATACAGGGTACCATTGATCATGGATTACATTTATATCCGCCTGCCTCTCATCAATTGATTACTTACACTGACGTTGACTGGGGAGGTTGTCCCGATACCCGTCGTTTCACATCGGGTTATTGCTGCTTTCTTGGGGACAACCTCGTTTCTTGGTCATCTAAGCGTCAACATACTTTATCTAAATGGAGTGTAGAAGCAGAATATCGAGGCGTCGCAAATGTTGTCTCTGAGGCATGTTGGCTTCGTAATCTTTTACTTGAATTACATTGTCCTCTTCGACAGGATACTATTGTTTATTGTGATAATATCATTGTTATCTACCTTTCTGGCAACCCAGTACAACACCAACGCACCAAATTCGGGTTCTACATATTCCTTCTAGATATCAGTTTGCGGACATTTTCACAAAAGGCCTACCACGAGACTTATTTTTGGATTTTAGATCCAGTCTTAGCGTACGACCTCCTCCCGCTATGACTGCGAGGGTGTGATAGATATTATAGTTATGATAATATTTGTCGTAGATTAGGATATTTTTTGTATATATTATGTATCCTTATCGTACTAAGATTACGAGTCTTGTAAACTCTATATATAATGATCAATGGTACACACTCCAATTGGATGAGTTTTCCTGAAATCTAACACAAATGAATAGCTTTAGTTGTAACATACACACGTTCTTAATATTATTTATACTCTTAGGGGCCGTTTAGTTCGCTGGAATGGGGAAAGGGAATGGGAATGATTCCCTTTGTTAGTGTTTGTTTTCACTTATTTGTCATTCCCATTCCCCCATTTTATTTTTGGGTTTACCCAAAAATCTCCTAAACCCATTCCCCACCCCCTACCTTTTGCATTCCCATTCCCCAACCACCAGTCCACCACCATACCCTATCAACTGGATGCACCTTGCCGGAACTCACTTCACCTTGCCGGACCCTCGCCGCCCTTCGCCGACCACCCCATCAACCCCAGCCCTTCACTGACCACCATCCCCATCAACCGCAACTCTTCACTGACCACCAACGAACCACCACCATCAATGCCCTCCCTTTCCCCTCCTCCCGGAAACCACCAAAAATCTCATCTCCCTTACCCTTAAACCACTAGATAACCCACCCATCCTACCTCCCTTTCCCCAAAACCACCAGAAAACTGACCCACCACCTCACTCGTCCTTCAAAAATCACCACACCCACCACTCCATCCCCACACCCGCACCACACATGTCGATGAACACCACCTCCAGCACACCTCGCCATTCCCACAAGAATCGTCGTTGCTCTTGACGAGGTCAAGGTGGGAGTTCGAAGGAAAGAGATGGTCTGGGTTCGTGGAGGCGTGGGTTTGAATTTGGGTACGTGGAGGTCTGGGTTTCGTCTTGGTGGTGGCGTGGGTTTGAATTTGGGTTCGTGGAGGTCTGGGTTCTTGGGGGTGGCTGTTGGTTGGGCGGTGTGGTGGCTGGAGAAGGTGGAAAAAAATGAAGGATAGGTGTTGTGGTGGTGATGTGGTGGTGCAATGGTGTGTGATTCCCATTCTTTTTTTGTAAACAAACAACATGCTTAATTTTGAGGGTTTCATTCCATTCTCCTCCATTCTCTTTCTGCATTCCATTCCGATTCCCCTCTGCGAACCAAACGGCCCCTTAAAGTATTCGTAAAGTTTTTAAAATTGAACATACTCCATAAAAGATAGAGAGAAAAGATTTTGCAGGGAGGAACTATCTCAACATCTCCTAATAATGGGGTATGACTGTCCCAAACAACCAATACAAAACAAAAGACGCTTCAGCAAAATTCATACAAAGCTACAAACGAATGTAATGTACCAGTAGTTGGCCCTTGTGGCCATGAAAGTGCCGTAGGGTAGTTTCCATTTTTATAAGATTTTTGAACAACGGTATATTCTAAGGCCAAAATATGTCCAAATCCAAATTTAAATGGACAAGAAAGCATTGATCAGGCAATCAAATCCTCACCTTTGAATGGATGAGCTTCGAATGCAAGCTCATAATGTAACATCTCATTATTATGCTAACCTGAATTGTGGTATGAGCTATAAATGCACGTGTCTAACTATCATAGTCATCAAAGCATGATATTGTAGGTTATCACAAGTCCGTAGTCACGAAGACATAATATACACAAAGTATATACATGTAGATTGCATTCAACAACACAAACAAGTAAACAATCTTGTCACGAGTTAGGATACAGAATCATACAAGCAACTAAAAAAAGAAAAAAAAAATTAAAAATTTGTCAATATTTTCCTTTGCTAAACATTTCTGAGGAATAAAACACAAGATTAGAAAGGCTCTCTTTAATTCAACAGTTGTCCAGTCGTCATACTGTATAATCTTGTGTTGAATCCTCAAAAGAGTACGTATCACAGCAAAGAAAAACTGGTGATGAATACTAACATTGGATGGAAATCCCTTAGTGTACCCTGAAAGAAAGCAAAGGTGAAGATATTTGCCATGGGTTGTCCTTACAAAATTGGGAATCCGCCAGCTGATTCTATCATGGCTTGTCCAGCCAATTAAGAACGCTGTCTTGAGAACCAAACGGTAATTCCTGCAGTAAGAATCAGGAGATCATATATTATATCAGGCTGAAAATTAGGCATTTACAGCAATAAGATCAATCAGGAAACTTACTGTAAACTGAAGCTCAGTATCAAAATTGCTGATGCCATAGGATTGGCAATAGTCGTCCAAGTCATTTAAGCTCATGGTGTCGTCGAGAGGAGCACAAGAACTAAATATTTCTTTGCAGAGCAATGGGTCATCAATGTCATTCACGCCAGGGTCTTGAGCCTGAGACTCCCCTGCCAGGCATTCAGGAAGTTCGACATCTCCCATGTACGAAGTGGATGGAGTAAAACAAGATTCTATCTTTGCACATGTAGTATCCTGATACAAAAGAAAATTACCTGCATTAGTGTCAATAAGCAACAAGGAACAGACAAGATTAATGGAATATAGCCTAAGCATGGAGAAAGAAAATAAGGTTCATTTAGCAGGAAACAAATTCCTGATGAGGCATTAACAATTCAAATACAATTTTATGCCATAATTTCAAAGGAGAATTCCTGCACAAAAACAAGTTGACGATATGGTACATCATATGATTAATATCACAAGGAAATCGAAACTCTTTGCTGAAAGCAACTCAAAATAAATCCATAAAGCTAATGTCATGTACTTTGTATATAAAACTCAACTTATATAGATCAAATTTGGTAACTATGAACATATTAAATCGGCTATGTTCTCTGTACAGTTCAAGATAGTCAGAGCACAGGTATTTCAAATAAGGCATTCTGTTCAAAACCACTTGCAGTTGAAACTAACCTCAGCAGCAGTGAGCATAATATCATCCAAAGCATCATCACAGTGGGCAGAACTTCCTCTAGGAAGATAGGGTGTAACGATCTTAGGAGTCTTTGGACAATATGGATTGAGCACAGCATTAGAATCATCCGTAGCAGCTACACCATTGTCTTCTGTTTCAGTTTGCTTTGATTGTTGGTAGAATATTTTTGAAACAACAAATGCATCATCCTTCTCATCATCTTCAGAGCCTAAATGGTACTGATGCATCACCCAGTTTGACTTGACAGGCTTGGATCCCTTTTCCGAGCTTTTGTAAAGGACCATAATCTTTTTGCAGCCTTTCTGAACTCCATTGTCACACACAGGTTTAGTCTTTCCAGTCTTGTGCCAGCGGACATTCTCCTGATTTTGGTCATTATGAATCTTGCGCCGCTTGCGCTGGCCAGAAGCATATGCATTTGAAGTTTTGTGAAAGAAATGAATACTAGTTCCATCTTTAGTAGCTCCTGCAGAACAATTTAAGGCAATTAAGTAAAACTTTGGTTGTCATTAAGAACCTTTCTCTACAAAAATCTGACCAAAGTGCATTCAGTTGATAGCCATCCACTGATCCACATATAAATCACTTTTATCTTGTCTATTTATTAATGCCAAATCCTGGAACTAAGTCAAATTATATATGATGAAAGCTTCCTAACCTGGAAGATCTTGTGGATGAGTGTAGCAAATCCCTTTATCCATCTCAAGTGTAGGAATGAATTCGTCGATGAATGCATGGGATTTTGCTTCTCCTGCACCACATTTTGCTGCAAGATGTTCAAGAAGTTGTGAATCCGAAGGATCAAATTTTACACCAGCAGGCAGACCAGGCCATTCATATGAAACCTGAGCAGGAGATAAATAACATAAAGACTTTAGCTTACACTTGTAAACAACACTAAAGACACCATTCACATTCAAGTTACACTCGAAGATTATTAATTAAATGCTAGAGGACATGATCTATGTCGAAAACGAGGTATGGATGAAGTTGAATGATGCACTTGATGGTCAGTGGTCTTGACTCTTGATACCGAAAACAAATTTTAAAGAAACTCCCAACATTGCAATTGAAAAAGAATGGAAGAAGTATATCATAACAGCAATCTTACATCGCTATTGTCAATCCAATGATGGCATTTTGGACATTCGCGCTTTGCTCCACAGTCTTTAATCTGTACACCTGAAGGTAAGGATGCATGCCTTACTTTCTTAGCAATCCCTTTACAATCAACAAGCCAACTTCTGCAACACCAAATTTCACACAGAAATAAACATCAGAGAATGACTCAACCCGAGAAACACGAAAATTACAAACACATAGCGAACACACAACACAATGCAGCAATGAAACAGCATTGCACAGTAATCTTGTATAACAAACAAGAATGTTACTCTCAGCCAAAATGCAGGACCTGAACTACAATTTCTAATCATGTAATAATTTGTTTATGGCATATTCACAGCTTAGGAGATTGATTTAGTTAGTTCAAAGGCTATCACATGATTCACATCAACCAAGACAGACAATGCCATTTTCAGTAATTTTACAAAAGTTCTACATTGCTACAATCAATCCCATGTACATGAAAATCTTTTTTGATCTGATTAAACTTCCTCTGCACAAATTCCATATCTGTTATTGGAATTAAAATGTAGCAAGCTCCTAGAATAGGGGATTTTAAGATTCTTCATTTGTCCTCAAATGTGCTATGTAGAACAACTCCAATACCAATCCAATATACAATGCTACCAAAGAAATGAAAAACCCAATATCGAATATGTTTAATAAAATCCAATACCAAAGAATTCGATAGAAAACTTAAAAATACGTTCCCACATCATCAAAACAACACACAAAATTTGTAACTCGAGAAATTTTGCAATGTCATATAAAATAATTCGAAAACATGAATAACCCAGCAAAGATAATCCCAGGAAATGTAATCTAAAGCGGTAAAAACCCAATAAACGAAATATCAAGAATTGATTAAAACTCTAGTCTAAACCCTAGAAACAGTAGAAAAACTTCGAAATTGAGCGAAAATGTGAAATTTTACAATCAAAATAAACCCCTCAAAGAAAAACCCCAGAATTTCCTTACAAAAACCCATAATTTCAACATACCCCATGAAAAATTTTGAACAGAAATTCACAGAAACAACTTCAAAAGAACCAAAAAGCAATAGAAAGATTTAATTTTTATTTCTGGGTTGAAGTTAATTTCGCTTACTTTGCCATTTCATAGAATACCCAGAAGCTAAAAATTACAGAGAAAGAAAGAGTGAGGAAATTTCAGCTAGTCTTGAATATATATATATATACTCCCAAAATTCTTCAGAAACTTTCTCACTCTAAAAATTCTCTCTCTAGAAACTGGGTTAAGTAATCTCTGACATAAACTGAAGAAGAGCGGGAAACTAGACGTTTATCAGCTTCGGGATTACCGAACCAGAAATGCATCAGTCGAACCAAAAACGTCAACACATTTTCTGAAGGGACCCGATTTTAGAAATGACTTTAATACCCTCCCATAATTGTTGCTTCAATTTATATTCTTCATACTGTAGCTTATAAATTCATCCCGTTAAAAATATAACAGTGAATTGAAAATCATAAAATTATTGATTCATGGCCCCTAAGGCCTATAGTGATATTTAATATTGTATTAATGACACAATAAAGTTATAATATACACAAGGTAATAGTGTAATCGTTTATTAGTGATCCCTACAATTCTTTGATTGAATTTTCCCTCTTTGTAATATTTTAAATGGTTTTTTTTCCCTATTATTTTATTCTTTTTCCCGCTATTATCTTATAAAGTTATAAGTCTAATTTTATTTATGAGCAAAAAATTAAGACTATAAAACTAAAATGTATCGTTACGGAGTAATTTGATTAACTGAAAAAAAAAATAGATAGAGAATAATGATCAATTTGTTCATAAAGATGGCATGGTGCAGTGAGAGATGAGGAAAAGATTGATGAAATTTTTTGTATATTCATGAACAATGATGTTCTTATTGTCAAACATTAAGCGACATTTTATTAGTGCGGAAAACTATTTGGTTTAGAAGCAGATTACATGCTTTATTAATTAATCTACTATATCAAAAAAGAAAAAAAAGGAAAAAAAAATAATAAAAAAAACCAATAAAACAATAACATCCTAGTTATAGTAAGTCCACTAATAGTAAAGGTGTTAAAACCAAACTGATTCGAAAAAAATTATCCGTTTCAAACTGTAACCGATCCGATTTGACCCGAGAAATTCAGGACCCAAATCCAATCTGTAACTGACTTGAACTTAATCCGAATTTGAATTTAACCCAATCTGAACTTAACCCGACACCGATTTGACACGACTTGAACTCAACCCAAACCCGATATGACTCGACTTGAACTCAAACCGAACCGATTTGACCCGACTTGAACTCAACCCGATCCGAAAATAACCCGACAAATAACCGATTTAATTCGATCTATTTTAACCCGAAATGATATTAACCCGACCCAATTTTAAACCGATCCGATTTTAACCCGGCCATAATTTTAAACCTAACCTATTATTGACCCTTTATTTCAAGTTCTTATACTACTATATATTTACTAATTTACTAATTATTAATAAGTTAGAAAGTCTAAAACTCTAACAAATATCTTATACAAATTGAAATAGTAATAAACAAACTAATAGTACTCGTAGCCTCATGAGATTGAACAATTGAAGAGTAGTACCTTAAAAAGAGGACATTCTTTTTTGTATATCACCATATGTGACTATCATCTATCAGTCTATCACTAGTTCATTACTAATCGTTTCACTTATGTACGTAGGTATGATAAGTATTGTTAATTATTCAATTTAAATTTGGCTCCAAAATAATTATTACACAAGAATTGATCGAATGAGAAAACTAATTCTTCGCATTTTATAATAATTAACCGCGCAATATGATAAATGATGCATGAATAACTTAATATTGACCCAATAATAAGGTTAAAATTCAATAATTACTCTAGTTTAAAAATGACCTTATTTGGAGTATTGTTAGTAACATAGCATTTAAATTTGGTATTTTAGGAGTATTGTTTTCTAGGTCTCGTCAAACAAAAAAAAAAAAGTCTCTTTAATTTTTTTTTAAAAAAATTAACCGAGGCTGGATCCAAACCTGTGAGTGAGTCTCTTAAATGGGGCCTACTAAATACTAATAACTCTGTTAATTCTCATAGATATTCGTGCCTTGGGACAGCATATGTTTGAGGAGAGAGATTGCCTTGCTCCCCAAGCCAAATTTGGTAATGGTTGGGGTCAACGGGTCAACCAATGTCAAACTTTACCCTTTTTTTTTTTTTTTTTTTTTTTTTTTTACTATTACCACACGCTACTTCTAAATTGAAGAATGAACGTACATTATCTTGTTATACTTACAATTCGTATATAGCAATGCCGTAATGTGAATTATGTAATCATAATCATTAGCGAGTCATCAGTTAGTTTTTAATTTTTTTATAAGGAGAGTTCGTAATCTTTCAGGAAAAAAAAAGGGAAATTTGTAAATACTTTATATGTTACAAACTCACAATTATATTAAGCATAGAAAGTACCACTCTCACACCAGCAAAAGTGCTATGTATCTCCCTAATTTCGTCATGTGAGGTAATTTTTATATTTTTATAATAATAATAGACATAAAATATTCTTGTTGATGTTGTTAAAGATAGCACCGTATAAGAATTAATTATATTGTAAGAAGGAATTATAATATTTATTCTAATATATATGTTTGTCGATCCTACTTATTATATGTTTTATCCTCGTGAAACTCGAACCCTAATTGCCACTCTAGGTAGATATTAAGATCTAAAATAGTATGTAAGAAGTGGCATGGATGCCATATTCTACTTCTATTTGGAGCAAATTTCAGTAATACAATTTTATTGCTCTATTTGACATGCTACTACCTTCGTAGTTCAACATTTGCAATTAGTTTTCTGATAACATTTATAAGAGATTTAGTCGTTTAACTGGTAATTAAGTGACTAAATTAGTTCCCATTAAATTGAACATACAAAGATCATATAGATCTCGATCATTTCAAGGCCTGTTCTTCACTTGTGGTTAATAGCATACACCCCATGCAACTTTATTACTCCCTTCTTTTCTATTTGTTAGTCCCATATACTATTTTGGGTGTTTTAAAAAGATCTACCCATATTGAATGTATTCCATTTTTAACTTAGTTTTTATTTTCTATTTATACATATTAAATTCTGATTGGTTAAATTAATTGATTGTTGATTGATGACATAACTCTAAGTAAGGAAATCCCTCCCTTAACTTAGGGATGGCAATGGGTCGGATTTTTAATCTGCCTCCGCCTCCGACTCCGAGAATCCGACTCCGATCCGACTTAAATTTCCAACATCCGACCCGATCCGACACCGACTCCGATTTTAAATTTAATTTTGACCTCATTATTAATAGCAACCCGTATATAATCAACTTCAAAGACCTATAAATTCATGAATTGAATAATAAAATATATATATAAGTACATAGAAAAGTCGGAGTCAGATCGGCTAAGTCGGATTCTAAGTAGACTCCAACTCCGACCCTTCTTCGACTCAGAGTCGGATTTTTTAAACAAAGTCAGATTCGGATTATTATTTCTTAGATTCAGTAAAGATTTTTTTCTTCGAAGCGGATCGGACTAGGGGTGGATTCGGACTAGATTGCCATCCCTAACTTAAATTATGCAATTATGACTAATGCTTTCCAAAAAAAATTGAATAAGTTAAATAAGACAAACTAATTATGAACTGTTTTTGTACTTTAATATTAGATTCCAAATATTGTTCTTTTTTTTTTTTTATGTGATTGATTTCATACGGGACTATCATATAAAAACAGAGGGAGTAGTAATATACATTCGAGTTTGTTCAAAGCCCAATTAAGTGTCTTCCACTTCCCAATGTCGAATTCCCCTGCCTTCCAATACTCTGGTTTGCATCATACTATTTCTACTACTCCCCCGTAGCTTTCTATTTATAGTTCGGGAAAACTCAAAATAAATATATTATAAAAAACATAAAAATGAAAGGCCTAATAAATTCAGACATAGAGAGTATTTAGTATTATATTAGAGTATACGAGTTTTATGTTGTGTACTTAGTGAAAGGAAGCACAAGTTTCAAATATAAATCAAAACCTCAAACTTTTAAAACTTGGAATCCACTTAGGTTGTAAACTTCTCTTGATGATTTATTGATTGGTGGGTTAGTAATCAAACCTCCATTTTTTAATCAAATTGATGATTATTGTTGCCTTTTCTTCTCTAATTTGTGTGGCCAATCAAAACCAAGTATTGCTCTAATAAAATATACCAAGTAGGAGGGTACAAATCTACAAACAAGATTATTTGTAGGAAAAAAAGTGGAGGAGTGGAGTGCAAATGAAGCTTATATTGTGTCATAGACTCATAGTCATATAATTAAATCTAAAACTTCAATTTTTCCCTACTATTTATCTTACATTCATTCCAAAATTTCAATTTATAAGTGGTATCAAACAAATCCAATCTCTAAGATCCATGCAAATACATTGCACAACTACATCTATTACATTTAT